CAAAAAATTTCTATATGTGACACGGCACCAGAGTTAAGTTAGGGTTTTTCAAAATGCTGACACGCTGAGCTCAAAAGGTTCGCCATCACTGGTATATACCAATAGTTGTTCATAGTATTCTCTTTTTTAAAAAATATATTGATTTCTTACAGAGAGGAAGGGAGAGGGATAGAGAGTTAGAAACATCGATGAAAGAGAAACATCGATCATCTGCCTCCTACACACCTCCTACTGGGGATGTGCCTGCAACCAAAGTACATGCCCTTGACCAGAATTGAACCTGGGACCTTTCAGTCTTCAGGCCAACACTCTATCCACTGAACCAAACCAGCTAGGGCCATAGTATTTTCTTAAAATCCTTTGTATTTCTGTGGTATTAGTTGTTACTTGACCGCTTTTGTTTCTGATTTTATTTATTTGGCTCCTGTCTCTTTGTTTCTTCAAGAGGTTGGCTAATGGTCCATCAATTCATCAATTTTGTTTATACTTTCAAAGTACTAGATATTGGTTTCATTGATATTTTTTGGTATTATTTTTTTAGCCTCCAAATGATTTATTTCTCCTCTAATCTTTATTATTTCCTTCCTTCTATTTTGGTCTTTTCTTGTTCCTCTCTTTCTAGTTCTTCAAGTTGTAGGATTAAATTTTTTTAAAAAATATATTTTATTGATTTTCCACAGAGAGGAAGGAAGAGAGATAGAGAGTTAGAAACATCGATGAGAGAGAAACATCGATCAGCTGCCTCCTGCACATCCCCTACTGGGGACGTGCCCGCAACCTAGATACATGCTCTTGACCGGAATCGAACCTGGGACCCTTCAGTCCGCAGGCCAACGCTCTATCCACTGAGCCAAACCGGTTTCGGCTAAATATTTTTTTTAAAAATATATTTTTATTGATTTCAGAGAGGAAGGGAGAGGAAGAGAGAGATAGAAACATCAGTGATGAGAGAGGATCATTGATTGGCTGCCTCCTGATTGCCCCCTACTCAGGATCCAGCCCGCAACCCGGGCAAGTGCTCTAGATTGAAATTGAACCCAGTACCCTTCAGTCTGCAAGCCGACACTCTATCCACTGAGCCAAACCTGTCAGGGCAGCCTTTTTTCGGTCTGGAAATTTCTTTATTTCACCATCTATTTTGAATGATGGCTCTTCAGGAGAATTCTCTTGTTCTTTCTTTGGGGGTTGTGTTTTTGTTTCCCCATTTTGGCTGCCTGTTTGCATTTGGGTAGATCTGCTACACTTCTGATCTCTAGTGTAGGACAATGTCAGACACTCCTTGTGATTGGAACTGTATACCCAGTTATGAGCTATTAGCAATCCGTAGATTTTGTATCCCTCTACTGTGGCAGGTTCCTTTGGAAAGGACCAAGAGGTGCACCAAGGTCTGTTTTTCCTATCGCTGACCCAGAAGGAGATCAGGCAAAGACTCAAAGCCAGGACCCACCTCAGCCTGCAGTCTGATTGTTGTCATCCTTGATAACCTTCAGTCTATTGACCGAGAGTGGGGCCAGACATGTTCTAACAGGGTGAGACAATTGGCTTCCCCCAGGCAAAAACTGCCTGGATGGCAAAGGTCCACAGTAGAAAGATGTCCTCCATATCATGAGGAAATGACTTAGCACAGGATACTAGGGTGGCTGCCCTCAGAGTTCCAACCCCAGAGACCCCAGTCCTGGACTCTCCTCACACAGTTTCAGTCCACTCTGCCCTCCATCTGCCAGAGCCCATGGTGAGTGCCTGCACTCGAAATTTTGTGCATTTAAGAGGGTGCCTGCGTTTGCCGCTTTTCATATCCATATGTTTTGCAGGCACCCCTCTTAGTTCTCCTGCTCTGGGCTTGGGATCTCAACTTGGGATTCAGACACCAGAGTTCTTAGTGGGAACACCCACAGCCAAAATATCCCTCCAAAATTCAACTGTTGTCTGTGGGAACCGAGCCATCCCTTTTGTGTTTCAGCATTGCCGACCAGTCTGTATGCAATCACCACTTCCCGTTCTGTGTTAGCAGGGCTCTCTCCAGCTAGTGCTCAGCTGATTTTTCAGGATGGTTGTCCTACATTTTAGTTCTCTTACCAGCTTGGTCTTGAGAGCTTGTCAGTGTGCCTTCAACTTATTCCATTGCCACATTTTCTCCTCTTTAGTATTTCTTTTATTACTGTACTAGGGGCCTAGTGCACGAAATTCATGCAAGGGGGGTGGGTCCCTCACCCCAACCTGCACCTCCAATCTGGGAGCACTCATGGGTGCCCTCTTCAATCCAGGAGTTTCTGTCTGTCTTGGTAATCATATGAGCGAATTGTCTGAGACCCCAACCCAGTTCATTTTGGTGCTCACAGAATAATAGAGGTCTTTTTTTCTTCTTTGCTCCATTGGTGGAGATTTCGTAGAAGTTGCAGGATATCTTCCTTTTAATTTTTCCTCAAAACTCTGACTTTAGTTATGATTCTAACCTTTGCTCTTCCTCCATCCCCCACCCGCAACAGTAACTTGCTCCTGACTCACTTCACTCTAGTGTCTAGGGCAGGGGTGGGCAAACTTTTTGACTCGAGGGCCACAATGGGTTCTTAAACTGGACCGGAGGGCCAGAACAAAAGCATGGATGGAGTGTTTGTGTGAACTAATATAAATTCAAAGTAAACATCATTACATAAAAGGGTACGGTCTTTTTTTTCAATAGTTTTATTCATTTCAAACAGGCCGGATCCGGCCCACGGGCCGTAGTTTGCCCACGGCTGGTCTAGGGGATCCTATAGCACGTATGCCACCAGAACTACGATTTCCAGAATTCCTGGTGCTCCCTGCGCTCTTGGTTTCTGATTCCAATCCAGGAACTGCAAAAATCAAAAGGACTGGGAACTCCAGTTGCCCCCAGGCCGAGCAGACAAGACCGGACACTCCAGTAGTGTCCCCGGGACCCCGGGCACTCGGCGCCGGCATGTGCTGGCTACAGGCTCGGAGCAGGTGGGGTCCTGGGGAGGACTGTGGCCCATCCCGCCCCCAGCTGCTTGGCGCCTGTGCATGTGCGCGCTGCCCACAGGCCTGAAATCTTTGTCAGGTTAATTTGCATGCTCACTCCTGATTGGCTGTGGTTGTCGTGGAGGGACCATCAATTTACATATTTGGCTATTATTAGTATGGATTAAGTGTCTTCACATATCATGAAGCAGTTACTCCTTTAATCCTTTCACCCTTATGGACCAATTATGTAATGATCATTAGATTTATCTACATGAGTGATAAAGGCTGTTGGCTGGGAGGGGTGTTGTTTTGATGTTGAGAAACGATTCAAAAGTCTTGCCTCCTTGATGCTCTATGAGCTGAGCTCTTAATAACAAATAATGTATGAGTCCATAATGACTTTGGTAGCAGTTCTTTTCAGTGACAATTAAGGGTGAAAAATAGTGCTGGGGACATACTGATTTCTGTTTCTATTCTATGGTAGGTTGTGGCCAAAAGTATTTCTTTGATAATTCATACCAACAAACACTAAATGGTCCTTTGATGTGTAAATTGGGGGGAATACACAGATGTTATATGGGCTTTTGCAGTTTTCCAAAACAAAACTTTTCAGTGTATTTCACAGAACAATCCACTCATGTTAATGTGGTTACTCTGACTCTGGTTTTTAACCCTAGCTATCTTCAAATCTTTTTGATTACCCATCTTCCCAGTCATCCTTTCTATGCAGTTCTCTCCTTTTTTGGTCTTTTGCATTGCTCTTTGTCTTTATTGGACTCTTATTCCCATCTCTGGTGGGTGTTTATTTATTTGTTTATTTGTGGATATCTGTCTACTTATTCTGGCAGGAAGATAAACTCTTCTATCTCCTATTTTGCTATATTGCTGGTGTCACTCACATAGTTTTTTATTTTATTTTTTTTTCTGCTTTGATTTGTTTTTTTTCTCTATTGTTTCATCCATGCTCTCTCGTTCTACCACAATACTGGCATCTTTTCAGTTTTTCTTTGCGGATTTCTGTCATCTGTATCCAATGTAATTGCTCAACTGGGATTTAAGGGGAAGAATCATTTTTGCATTATAAGAGAAAGATGACTATATCCGCGGCAGAGTGGACCCAGAGGCCGTCTTTCCTTGGTGAAGGGCTGTTGGGTAGAGTTTGACACAAGAGCTTTATTAAGATTATAAGTAAGAACTTATTTTGTTCAACATTGTTTTGTTACCATTGCCAGTTCTGTACCCCATTCTACTTGTGTTTGTTTATTATTTACACTTTGCAAACTGTTCAGTTCTATTTTTTAAAAGGTTTTTCTTTATTTTAGACACAGGGAGGGGAGAGAGAGAGAGGAGTGATGAGAGAGAAACATTGATTGGTTACCTCCTGTATGCAGCCCAAATGACATTTGAACCTGGAACGTAGGAATGTGCCTTCACAGGGATTCGATCTGGCATCCTTTCAATGGGTAGGATGATGCTTAACCCACGTTGCCACACTATCTATGGCTAAAGTACTCCATTCTGTTATAATTTCCACTTAGGTTTCCAGCTTATGGATAATCTTTACCTCTCTAAACTATGTACCTCAACTGCTTCCCATACAGGTTCCTCTTTACTGCACTCCAACCTTGATCCATGCCTTTACAGCCTTGGTGTGTCACATATTATATTAACCATACACATCATGTGCTGGAATGCAATGGGTTTTAATATGTTCGAGCACATTCATATTGTTCTACACAGGCTGCATCAACAGTTAGAATGGTCCTGTAGGAAGCTGTCTGTGAAGGAACAACTTGGGAGCCCTGCCTCTCTCGTTTGTCCTATCATGTGTTCCTGCCCCTCCCGTGGTAAGATCTTCACCATTGAGTGACCTTAGGAGTCAAGTAATGTATAACAGCCATTTCCTCAGAGTCTAACTCACTGGTCTTAAAAAGCATCCCATGCAATCATGCCTGGTTGTGACAGATAGACAGTGGAGATGAGGGTATTTCTTCCTTCCAAAGTCGTCATGTACTTCACCTGCATTTCCTTTTATTTAGGTTGCTGCTGTGGAGCAGAGAATGTGGAGGCACCTTTTGAAGAGAACATTTCTGTAAGAGTGTCACAGGCAATGAATGCCAAGTTAGCTTTGTCTTCCCAGAAGAGCCACCCCTGTGAGAGTTGTGGACTAGTTTTGAGAAACATTTTCCACTTGACTCATCAGCAGGTATTACAACACAGGCAGATACTGTTGAGGTGTGGGGCATGTGCAAAACAAATTTATTTCAGTGCACAGTTTCACCAGCACCAGCAGCAGTACTTGAGAGAGAAGCCTTTGATAAGAGAGGTGAACAGTGTCTCACTTGAAAACAGCTGCAATTTCAATGTGTTTCAGAAGCTTTTTACCTGTGGAGAGGTGGAGCAGGACATCCTTAGCATGGCAGGCCATTTCCAGCAAAAGGATACTCAGATCAGTGACAAGCCAAATGGTATCTCAATGTTTGGGGTGACATATCAAGGGAAAAATAATTATTTTACTACAAAAGAAAGTAAGAAAGCCATTGGCTATAACTACACGTGTATTTGGGACAACGGTGTCCCTACTGGCAAAGCATATTTCTGTTGCCGTGAATGTGGAAAATATTTTGCCCAATTTTCTACTTTTTGTTACCATCAGAGATTTCATGCAGAAAAACAGCTTTATGAGCACAGTGAATTTGGGAATTCTTTTACCAGTATTACTGGCCTCCTTTCTCATCAGAGTTGTCACAAAGGTGAAAGGCCTTATCAATGTATTGAATGTGGAAAATCTTTTACCAGGATGTGTTTTCTTCGTGATCATCAGATAGTTCACACTGGAAAAATGCCTTATGAGTGCAGTGAATGCGAAAAATCTTTTACCTGTAAAAGTGGCCTCCGTTACCATCAGATGAGAGTTCACACTGGAGAAAGGCCTTATGAGTGTAATGAATGTGGGCAATCTTTTGTCAGTAGTAGTGGCTTCCGTTATCATCAGAAATTGCACACTGGAGAAAGGCATAAGTGCAATGAATGTGAGAAATCTTTTAACAGTATCTATCATCTTCGTTATCATCAGAGAGTTCATACTGGAGAAAGGCTTTATGAGTGCAGTGAATGTGGGAAATCATTTGTTCAGAAACATGGCTTCCAATGTCATCAGAGAATTCACACTGGAGAAAAGCCTTATGAGTGTAGTGAATGTGGGAAATCATTTACTCGGAATAATGTCCTTAATCGTCATAAGAGAATTCACACTGGGGAAAAGCCTCATGTGTGCAGTGAATGCGGAAAATCTTTTACCTGTGGAAGTAGCCTTCGTTACCATCAGATGGGAGTTCACACTGGAGAAAGGCCTTTTGAGTGCAATGAATGTGGGAAATCTTTTACCAGTAGTAGTGCCTTCCGTCGTCATCAGAAAATTCACACTGGAGTAAGGCCTTATGAGTGCAATGAATGTGGAAAATCTTTTATTAGTGGTAGTAGCTTCCGTCGTCATCTGAGAGTTCACACTGGAGAAAAGCCTTATGTGTGCAGTGAGTGTGGGAAGTCTTTTACCACCAAGTATTGCCTTAATTGTCATGAGAAAATTCACACTAGAGAAAGGCCTGATGAGTGTAGTTAATATGGGAAATCTTTTATACAAAATTCTAACCCTACTCCCCACATAAGAGTTCACATTGGAGGAAGGTCTTGGATATGTAGGAAATGTAGATTTTTTTAGTTCACCCATAGCAATACTATAAGAAATTCCATGAAGCCCTATTTGTCTGAACTGAATCTCATACACTGCAACATCAAGAGTAGGGAGATTCCCAATAAATTTGAGTGCTGTGAAAATCGTGTGTGTGTACTTTGCACTTATTTTTTTAACTTTTTATTAATTTCAGAGAGGAAGGGTGATGGAGAGAGAAATAGAACTATCTATGATGACACATAATCAGCTCCATCCTGCACATCCTTTACTGGGGGTTGACCATGCAACTGGGACATGTACCTTGAATGGGAACCCACTGAGCCACATGTGTACGTTATAATTTGTTATGTACACAGGTGTCTTGCCAATTCTTTGTCCCTGCATCATTTTTTTTCCTTCTACACCTGTGTCCTATCACCAGGTTCACAACCTCTGTCAATTTTTTTAATATATTATTGATTGCAGAGAGGAAGAGAGAGAGAGAGATGGAAACATTAGAAACATGAATGATGAGAATCATTAATCGGCTGCCTTCAGCACGCCCCCTGCTGGTGATCGAGCCTGCAACCTGGTCATATGCCCTTGACTGGAATCGAACCCAGGACCCTTCAGTCTGCAGACTGATGCTCTATCCACTGAGCCAAATCAAGTAGGGCTGTCAATATTTTTTTTTCCTTAAATATGTTTTTAGTAGACTCCCGGCACACAAAATTCATGTGCGTGTATGGTCCCTAGGCCTAGCTTGAGATTGGGGCCATCTTCCCTGGGTGCCGGCAGCCTGCCTCACCCCTCACCTTCCTGTTCACCATCAGGCAAATGGAGCCTGCTGGGCGGGAGGGGGGGGGGGACTGAGAGGTTGGCTGGCAGACCCTGATCAAGCCATCAGGGCCTACAGGTTGGGTGCAGCTCCTGATGGTCAGTGTGTGTCATAGTGACCGGTGGGTGGATCCACCATTTGGTCCAATTGCATATTACCCTTTTATAGGATATTAAAGTATATATTTTATTGATTTTTTACAGAGAAGAAGGGAGAGGGATAGAGAGCCAAAAACATCGATGAGAGAGAAACATTGATCAGCTGCCTCCTGCACGCCCCCCAGTGGGGATGTGCCCGCAACCAAGGTACATGCCCTTGACCGGAATCGAACCTGGGACCCCTGAGTCCGCAGACCGATGCTCTATCCACTGAGCCAAACCGGTTCGGCATTTAAAAAAAAAATTATATATATATATTGATTTCAGAGAGAAAGGGACAGGGAAAGAGAGAGAAACATCAATGCTGAGTGAAAATCATTGATTCGCTATCTCCTGCACATCCCCAACTGGGGATTGAGCGTACAATCTGGGCATGTGTCCTGACCGGAAATGGAACCATGACCTGTTTCATAGGTCCAGTCTCACCCCCTGAGCCACACCATGTATCTCACTACTGTTTTGGTTGATGAAGCTATTTCACCTGGTCCACCTATATGGCTTTCACAGATTGCATGGGTCACCATCCTCATGTGCTCAGGAAAGCTAACTCTGTTCTCTGTTTTGTTGGAGAAATTTGGGAGTAGCCTGCGCTTGTACGAGGTCTTATTTCCTTTCACTCTGATTAGTTGCCATATGGACCTGACTCAGTGTTGTCCCCAGAGAACATCATCAGTGTTCAGCGAGCAGCTTATAGAATAATTATCTTTCCCAGGGACAGGCTTTTTCTAGGTAACAGTGATAGATGTTTTTGAGTGGCTAAGTCACGGAATCAAGAACTGTCAGGCTCTTGTCCCTTTGGTTTGTAAAATAGTGAAGGACTTTCTAAGTCTAATTTAACATAGGTGTTCTATTTACTGTCTGGGAGTTTACAAGCAGATTTGGGTTCTATAAGCATCAGGAGGTGAACCAATTTTATGGGCATCTCAAACTTCCTCTACCTATGGGAGAATGACATGGTGCAGAAATTAGCAGTTTAGGCCAGCTTTTCATTGCTGCGCTATTTTCCCAGCTCTCATATTAAGCCTGATGCTATGAGTTTTAGGAGAGTTTCTGGAGATCACTCCAAAGAGTGGCTAGCTGTGCCAACCTCAGTTCCATCTGGAAAAAACATGAATTATTTTTCATTTGGGGGGGGGGGGGAGATCTCTTGGCCAGGTCTTAACAAGGATTATTCGCCCTAATGCCTATAATTCCATGGGTGATGATCACTGGTTGGAGGACCATAGGGATGAGGGGAGCCATGATTGCTACAGAACCACTGGCCTACATGGTGTTGGAAGAATTTGCTGCCATCGAGATGGAATGAGCTTATGAATGTGCATTCAGAACTGTTTGAGGAAAACACTGCAGGGTGACATGTACACAGATCTGAGAATCTCCACGCATGTTTACGAGTATTTTCTGTGGCCTCAGAGAGTTTAACGTCAGAGCTATTGGTGCCTTGGCACAAAAAGAATGATAAAGAAAAGGGGTGCCCTGGCTGGCTTGGCTCAGTGGATAGAGCATTGGCTTGCGGACTGAAGGGTCCTAGGTTTGATTCCTAGTAAGGGCTTATGACCAGGTTGCGGGGTCAGTCCCCAGGAGGGGCAATGTAGGAGGCAATTGATCAGTGATTCTCATCATTGATGTTTCTATTCTCTCCCTTCCTATGGAATTAATAAGAATCTATTTGTAAAAAAGGGGGCATCTCTAAGTCAGGATGTGACTTGTGAACCAGGGAGCATTCCTGTTGGTTTGGGTGAAAGCCCTTCATTGTTTGCTGTTTGCTGTCACTGAGGTTAGCCTCTCTTTCACGGGGCATGAGAATAGGGATTGAATATCAACTTGTCAAATCCGATTTCCAAAAAAAATGGGACATGCAAGTTTCTTTTACCTTGAACCAATTTTAAAATGGTTTCATTAATAACTGACATTGTGTAAAGCCACAGGCAGCGTGGCTTTCGGGTTCAAAAGCTTGGAGAAAGAGCTGACATGCAAATTAAAACACAAGACAAGAAATATGAATTTGGAATTATGAGAGAAGCTAGGGGAAAGCTTAGTTGTAGTAGTCAAGCCATTCCTGTCTGCTTTTAGTTACTAGAATACACAGTTGCCTTTTAGGAATGCAAACAGACATATCAATGGTAATGTTTAGTAAACAGTAAGATTATCAGGTTGGGGGAGTTTGCTTTAAGCCATTGAGTCAGCAGTAGGTAATAAAATGCAAATATTCACCCTGTGAATATCAAAGAGTCCAAATTCAGCCTTCTGACTGGACTTCTCGCATTTATATTAATTACTGTTGATCTTGGTTTTCAACATGACATGTCAAGTACAAAATTTGAGGAACCCACATATGCATTAACGAGGATAAATGACAATAAGTCATTTTTGAATCTCTCTGCCCTTAATAGCTTTTCACGGAACCACTAATTCACATTCCATCTTAATAGATAACTGCAATTTCTGAACTTTATATGATGGGAATCTGAGGTTTGTTTGGTTTTTTTTGCTCTTTACATTGCATAAATGTTTAGAGATTTATTAATGATATATCTGTAGCTCACCTTTTTTGTGGAAAAATGTTTTTATCTTTGAATTTAGCATGCTTTATTCATTTCCTATGCTTATTTCTAATTTCTGACTATTTAAACTGCTACAAACAATTTTTGTAGAACTCTTTATGAGGATATGTTTCATTTACCCTTGTCAATAGTTTTGAATTGTTGGGTAGGTGAATGTTTAACTTATAGATACGTGCAAGTAGTGATTGACACTGATTGGCCGCCGGGGTTCTTGTTCCAGCATCTAAAAGGGTTCAGCAATCTGGAGAAGGGCTGGTGTAACTTAATAAAGAGTCCAGGAACGAAGCATAATTTTGAAAGGCATTTGGGGGTCAGAGTAGCCTAGCTAAAGAAACTAAGTTCTCCTCATCTCAGGACCCTGTTACAGTTAAGCCCCCCTTATAAAATAAAAAAAGGCAACTGGCTAACATAGAATAAGGAAGAAGGTCACACTCCAGTTTCCAAGGCTAGCACAATGCTTCCTCTTAACCTCTGAATGTCCCTCTCAAGTATGTTGGCAGTTACTGGGGAAATGGAACCAACTGTGGTCGAGGGTAGTCTAGGGTCCGGGGCAAGTTTATTAGTAGTTGGAGCAACGGGGCAAAGTTGATTAATAATACCTTGGTAATGGGGCAGTATTGATTAATGTAGCCCTGGCTGTATCCCAGGTAACTTTGTGTATGTTTAGCCAACCGTTTGATAGTTTCTGTGTATAAAAGGCTGGCCTAGAACCAGGTTCGGGGCTGACGTAGGAAAAAGCGCCTATGGCAGTCACTGGCCAGTTTTCAATAAATCCTTGCTTGCTGCTTAAGACCTAATTGGAGTCAGTGGTCTTACTCTCGCGAACGATGGTCCACAACAACCCCTCTCTTCTTTTAACACAATTTGTCCTAATGCGAGGCATAGATATACACTTCAAAGGGTAGGGTTTCCACATACACAAGCATTGTGAACATGGGGGAATTTGCCTACGGCTGTTCAGGTGTTTGGCCAGTAGGAGGCAATAACATGTAGATTAAGATGCCCTGAGCTGTCTGGCAGCAAGCAATCATCCCTTTTCGGGTTTGGGGAAATGCCCTCAGCCATTCCCAATAGGTGACAACATATGTGACTCAGCCCTTGGGGAGTCCCCAAGTTCCATCAAACTTTTGATGAAACTCTTGCAATTGTGATGCTGGAATTGGCTTCCGACAATTGGCCTGTGTGCATTTTCCAGCAGCGTATGAGGGACTCAATTCCTCTTCATATTAGAGAATACTTGGTTTGGTCAATCGTTTTTTATTTAGACACTTTTTAAAAAAATATATTTTATTGATTGTTTTTAGAGAGAGGAAAGGAGAGGGATAGAGACTTTGAAACATTGATGAGAGAGAAACATCGATCAGCTGCCTCCTGAACGCTCCCTACTGGGGATGTGGCCGCAACCAAGGTACATGCCCTTGACCGGAATTAAACCCGGGACCCTTGAGTCCATAGGCCAACGCTCTATCCCAGGGGTGGGCAAACTTTTTGACTCGAGGGCCACAATGGGTTCTTAAACTGGACCAGAGGGCCGGAACAAAAGCATGGATGGAGTGTTTGTGTGAACTAATATAAATTCAAAGTAAACATCATTACATAAAAGGGTACGGTCTTTTTTTTTTTTTAGTTTTATTCATTTCAAATGGGCCGCCCGCGGGCCGTAGTTTGCTCACGGCTGCTTTATCCACTCAGCCAAACTGGTTAGGGCTAGACACTTTTAAAACTTTGTCATGCTACCTCACTGTTCTTTGCTTTCTCCTAAGGCCGTGGTCGGCAAACTGTGGCTCCCAAGTCACATGCGGCTCTTTGGCCCCTTGAGTGTGGCTCTTCCTAAGCCTTAGGAGTACCCTAATTAAGTTAATAACAATGTACCTGCCTATATAGTTTAAGTTTAAAAAATTTGGCTCTCAAAAGAAATTTCAATCGTTGTACTGTTGATATTTGGCTCTGTTGACTAATGAGTTCGCCAACCACTGTCCTAAGGATTTACGGTGAGCCTTTCTTAGGGTGTGTTCTTGCTAACTCTGTATCTTTGTTAAAATGTTTGGGCATGGGTTCTGCCTAATCTGCTGTGAGTTTTGGCTGTTTAACAAAAGGAGAGTGAAACAACCAAGATGGATATTGGGATTTCATGTGGTGCCTTTTTAGACTTTATGGAATAAAGGCTTTTCTTGTTGGAATGAATGTCCTAATGTTTTTTACTTTTCTCCTGCTATGCACAATGCAATGGACGCTTTTCATTTTCACCCGCACTATTAACATTCTCTATTGCTTTCAGAACACCAGTCATCTGATCATGCTTATGATAAGCTCTTGCTTTGTAGTCTTCTGAATTTTCCTGGTCTCCTGTCATGGGGGTTCTTGGGTTGGAACAGGTCTCTCAGGAGGACCAGTTGGCATCAGGATGGGCAGGGTGTTTTAGAGTCCCAAAGCCAGTGCAGAGAGAAATGGGGGGCAGGGATCAGACTCCTTCTACCCCGGGTCAGGCATTTTGGATTTGAATCCCAGATTTCCAAATATCACTGGGACTCATGGGGGAAACGATCCCTTCCTCTAGTCTGGGCTTAGTTTTCTCCTTTGTAAACTGCCTATGAGGTACGTCTCTATCCCTGAGCTGCTGGAGGAGGACAAATGCTAAAATGTCTATTTGCAGTGAGACATCAATGCCGGTGGCCTGACTGGGCTCAGGCAGCTCTAGCCTCGAGTATAGATACATTTCGGGCCAGACATCCCTCACTCTCCCAATGCTGACAAACACCTTGACTTGGGGTGTGGTTGAGAAAAAAATGAGGCTCATGAGAACCCTCTGACCCACCTGCAGGGAGGCAGGTGCTGTGGGCCCTGAGGTCTCAGTGTGGGTTCTTTACCTGCACATCTCCAGGTGATTCCTAGAGCTTCCCTGAATCTCATTTGGCTGAAAGTGACATGAAGGTGATGTTGGCACTTACCTTAACCTCTGAAGATCAATAAAAACCAACTGAGCCGAAACCGGTTTGGCTCAGTGGATAGAGCGTCGGCCTGCGGACTGAAGGGTCCCAGGTTCGATTCCGGTCAGGGGCATGTGCCTGGGTTGCGGGCACATCCCCAGTGGGAGGTGTGCGGGAGGCGGCTGATCAATGTTTCTCTCTCATCGATGTTTCTAACTCTCTGTCTCTCTCCCTTCCTCTCTGTAAAAAATCAATAAAATATATTTTAAAAAAAATAAAACCAGCTGAGTCCTTGCTGGTGAGAGGATTCCAGGATTAGCTCTTGGAGCATTTTCTTTTTCATTTCTCACAACCACCTGGGAAGTGGAAACTAATTTCAAATTGCTGGCAACATCAAGGATCAGAGAAATGACGGAGGTTCTGCAAGTTTACTCAACAGACGTGTGTCTGGTATAAGAGGCTGGATTCCAACATCGGATTCTGGCTCCAGAACCTGGGGCGGGTGCACTGTGAGGACCAGGGAGAATCAGCTGAAGGTGCTCTTTCCATTGTTGCAATTATGATGATTTTTTTAAGATGTATTCTCCCCGTATTCAGGGGAACACCATCATCTCAGCTGCAGTGGATGTGTCTTTCTCATAGTGTCTGTATCTGTCCCTATTTATCTACAAAAAATAAAATATGAAGTAAAGTTTATATTATGCGTCTTAGTGGGTTTTTTTTTTTTATTTCAAAAGTCTGTCCTACATTCCTGTATTATATTTTTCCCATTCATATACGATGGTGTAAGTAGGTCATTTTTGTATAAAATGTTCTAGACTCTTGCATTCATACCTCTTTATTATGAGTCGCTGTATTGGGCTCAGGGATCATGTGTTTTCATTTGCACGTACTCAAGTCCCTTCACCAGGAAAAGATGACGACTTCCTTTAGCCATTTTCAAGATGACTCTTTCATGAGGATGGGACATCTCTTAGCCTCTCCAGAGGCGGATCTGGGTATTTTCTCCTGGAGTGAGGTCGGAAAACCCTCTACCTGGTCTTGGACTGACGCACAGTATGCAAAGACTAAATGTGAAATACCACGCGGCAACCAATGAAGGGTCAGAAAACGCACTTCCGGCGAAGCTAGGAGAGGCGGGACTTCCGGCGTCTGCATGCGGGCGTTTTGTCTGCACTCAGGTTACCGCCGCTACCTCATCCGAGATACCAGATCGCTAGTTTCTAGTGGAGATGCCCCGAGGGAAAAGCCGGGAGAGCTGTGGTGCACACAGCACACGCGCGGGTGTGAAGATGGACGTGGTAACGCGGGTGACCCGCTCCGTGGCCCGGACAGGGACCGCCCTTCCCGCGGCTGCCTTTTCTCCCGCCGCTCCCGCCCTGCTTCCTCCACTGAGTGCAATGGTGGCGCCCGCGCTGAATCGCTGGGCAGAGGTGAGTGCGAGTCCCCGGGCCCTCGCCGCCTCCTCACACGGAACAGGGCATCCCCGGGGGCGGTTGCATGTCCCGTCCTGCAGCTCAGTCCCGCGTGGAGGACCGTGAGGAAGGCGGAGGGGAGAGAGGAGTGTTGTGGCTTCTGAGGACACAGCAAGTGCAGGGCAGAGAGGACGGGGGTGACTAGTATCTGAGGTTCCCATGCGGATGTGAGTGGTGATTAATGACGTCAAGATCAGAGGCTGCAGGGAGGACAGCACAGACTCAATCGGGCTTTCCCGGCTGTGGGTCCATCAGGGGCCTGGGGTGGGCCTGGATCCGGCTGGACTCCAAGCTCTCTACACGCCATATGCCAAGTTCATGGGTGAGTCCAGCGAGATCCAGTGGCATTGGAGCAGGAAGGGGGCAGAGCTGAGGGAGTGAACCTGGGATCTGAACATGAGAAGTGGATAAACATTACCCAGTGGTGTGCACATCTGGAGCAAGTGTGAGCTGATGGTCCGGGGACCTGGTGTGGGGACCTAAGGGTGAGGCATAAGGTAATGTTTATCTTTGTCCTGGAGGCATGATCTGGGAGACTGCAGTGGTATTGATTGGCAGGAAGGCTGGGGCCCTGCAGGCATGGCCCAGAGCTTAGATGGTCTTTCTCTGCTGTCCCCCTTCCCAGCCCAGCTGCTCTGCTGAGGGCCATCACAGTGAGTAATGGGACTGTGATGAGAGAGCAGCCAGCACTGGCATTAGGGCCTGGTGTCCACACTAGACTGGGGTGCCCTAGAGGAGGTTGAGGTGGGGAACATGTGTGTAAGGAATAGAATTACTGGTTCTCAAAGAGACAGCTCTGGTTTCAATTGTCTCAATTCTAACAGGTTGGCGTGACCTTTGAGGACATTGCCCTGTTCTTCTCCAGGAAGGAATGGAGCCTCCTTGATGAGGGTCAGAGACAGCTGTACCTGAATGTGATGCTGGAGAACTTTGAACTTATATCCTCCCTGGGTAAGACCCTCACTCTCACCAGTGACCCGGACTTGGCTTTGCATTTCCCCAGACTCCTTTTCCCAGGTGCACTCTGTCCTCACATGTGCACCGTGGGCACTGGGTGATTTCCAGTTTTCTGGGTAGTTGCTGTCCTTTGCTTGCACTGCCAGCTTCTCACCGTGCAGCCCTTATACCTGCTGCACTGAACTCATAGGGATGAATATGTGGTTGATAGTGTGGCAGGGAGCCTAATGGATTCCACCTTGATTAGCAAGGAAAAGTATTTTTCATATTCCTGTTGGTCATTTGTACATATTTTTGGGGATATTTTTTCTACATCCTTAGCCTGTGTCTTGTTGTTACTGTTTTATATTTTTCTTGATTTCAGAGAGGAAGGGAGAGGAGAGAGAGAGAGAAATATCAATGATGGGAGAGAATCAATCATCACATGCCTCCAGCGCGTCCCCTACTGGGAATCCAGCCCACAACCCAGGCTTGTGCTCCAGACTGGAATTGAACCCGGGACCTTCAGTCCCCTGGCTCACACTGTCCACTGAGAAAAACTAACTAGAGCAGCTTACTTTATTTTTTAAAATAAATTTTTTATGCCTTTTTCTTTTTCCCTTCCTGTTTTTCCTCTGTCTCTTCCCACCCGCCTGTGTTTCACAGGATTCCCATTCTGTAAACTTATTTTTCCTCTTTCTTTCCACCTGAATGATTTCAAATAATGTGTCTTTGACATCATGTATTCTTTCATGTCTGATTTTAATACTCTTCATTTTTTGTTTTCAATTCATTCTTTGTAATTTATCATCTCCAGCATTTGTTTCATTCTCAGAAATGAAAATGATTTGTCTACCTATATTTTTCTTTTGTATTTTTTGTGTGTGTTTTTTTAATTTAATATATATTTATGGACTTAAGGGAAGAAAGAAGAGGGAGTTGGGAGATAGAAACATCAATGATGAGAGAGAATCATTGCTTGGCTGCCCCCTGCACTCTCCCTACTAGGGATCAAGCCTGCAACCCGGACATGTGCCCTTGATCAGAATCAAACCCAGGACCCTTCATTCTTCAGGCTGACGCTCTATCTCAGTGATGGCGAACCTTTTGAGCTCGGCGTGTCAGCATTTTGAAAACCCTAACTTAACTCTGGTGCCATGTCACATATAGAAATTTTTTGATATTTGCAACCATAGAAAAAGAAAGATTTATATTTTTGATATTTATTTTATATATTTAAATGCCATTTAACAAAGAAAAATCAACCAAAAATATGAGTTCGCGTGTCACCTCTGACACGCGTGTCATAGGTTCACCATCACTGCTCTATCTACTGAGCCAAACTGGCTATGGCTGATATTTTCCTTTTGTTACTGGTTGATTTTGTGTCTCAGCCGGGTTTTGTGCCCCTCCCACCCATCCCAGCCCCAGTGTCCGCTGTTCGTTAGCACACTGCCACAGAGGCGGAGGGGTTGGACCACCGCAGTGGCACTCACCAGGCAGGAGCCTGGCATCTGGCGCCTGTCAGTCACCTGAGCAGTGCTCCCACCAGGGGAGCACGCTGATCACCAGGGGTTAGCTCCTGTGTTGAGCATATCCCCCCTAGTGGTCAGTGCACATCATAGCGACTGTCAGATAGTCCTTTGTGTTTTGGTCCCTTAGGTTTCTCTAGATATAGGCTAGAGGACCAGTGCACAAAATTCATGCACTTGGAGGGGTGCGGCTCAGCACTGTAGGACCCCTTGCTCCTTACCGCCTGCCTGCTCACTGCTCCTTTTCGCTTGGCTCGCTCCTCCTTAGCAGTGCCGCAGAGGTGGGAGAGAAGCTCCCAGCACAGCTGCTGTACTCGCCAGCTGTGAGGCCGGCTTCTGGCTGAGCAGCTCACCCCTGTGGCAGCACACTAACCACCAGGAGGCAGCTCCTGTGTTGATCATGTGCCACCTGGTGGTCAGTTGCCATCATAGCCATCAGTCGTTCTGGTTGTTCCACTGTAATGGTTGTTAGGCATTTATTTTATCGATTGTTGAAAATATTACTTATGTCCCCTTTACTCCCCTATTGACCCCTACTAGCCCTACCACATACCCTCCCCTAGGCCTACGCCACCCTGTTGTCTGTGTCCATAGGTTATGCATAAAAGTTCTTTGGTTTTTCTCCTCTCACCCACCTACACCAGCACCTCCCTCTGAGATTCCACGGTTTGTCCCATGCTTACATGTCTCTGGATCTATTTTGTTAATCAGTTTATTTTGTTTATTAGATTCCACAGATGAGTAAGATCATGTGATACTTGTCTTTCTCTGACTGGCTTATTTTGCTTAGGATAATATTCTCCAGGTCCCTCCATGTTGTCTCAAAGGGCAAGAGGTCCTTCTTTTTCTACTGCTGCATAGTATCCCATGTGTACACATACCATGGCTTTTTTATCCACTCAATGAGTGATTGGCACTTGGGCTAGTACCAGATCTTACCTAATATAAATTGTGCTGCTATGACATCGGAGTGCATGCATGTTTTCTGATTGGTGTTTTGGGTTTCTTAGCATATATTCCTCGATGTGGGATCATTGGGTCAAATGGCAGTTCCATGTTTATTTTTTTGAGGAAACTCCATACTGTTCCATAATGGCTTCACCAGTCTGCATTTGCACCAGCAGTGTACTGGGGTTCCCTTTTCTCCACATCCTGCCAGCACTTTTCATTTATTGATTTTTTTTCATGGTAGCCATTCTGACAGGTGTCGTTTTAATGTGCATCTCATGATGATTAGTAACTTCAAGCATTTTTTCATGTCTCTTAGCCACTTGGGAGAAGTGTCTATTTAGGTCCTTTGCCCATTTTTAATTGGACTATTTGTCTTCCTTTTGTTAAGTGTAGCAGTTCTTTCTATGTTTTGGATATTAACCCTTTATCAGCTGTATCATTGCCAAAAATGTTCTCCCTTTCAGTGGGCTACCTTTTCATTTTATCACAATGGTTTCTTTTGCTGTGCAGAAGCTTTTTATTTTGATGCAGTCCCATTTGTTTCTTTTCTCCGTAGTTTCCTTTGCCCTAGGAGATGTAACCGTAAACATATTGGTACGAGAGATGTCCGAGATTTTGCTGCCTATGGTTTCTTCTGGGATTTTTATGATTTCATGACTTACATTTAAGTCTTTTATCCATTTTGAGGTTATTCTTGCGTATGGTATAAGTTGGTGGGCTAGTTTCTTTCTTTTTTTTTTTTTTTTTGCATGTATCTGTCCAATTATCCCAGCATCACTTATTAAAGAGACTATCTTGACTCCACTGGAGGTTCTTGCCTTCTTTGTCAGATATTAATTGAGTGTAATGGCTTGGGTTCGTTTTTGGGGTCTCTGTTCTGTTCCGTTGATCTATATGCCTGTTCTTGTGCCAGCACCAGGTTGTTTTGAGTACGTGACTTTATAGTAAAACTTCTCAGGTATTGTGATCTCTCCAACCATGTTTTTCCTCCTGCAGCTATTCATGGCCTTTTTAAAAAAAAAAAAAAATATATATATATATATATATATATATATATATATATATATTATTGATTTTTTACAGAGAAAAAGGGAGAGGGATAGAGAGAAACATCCATTAGAGATAAGCATCGATCAACTGCCTCCTGCACACCTCCTACTGGGGATGTGCCACAACCAAGGTACATGTCCTTGACCAGAATCGAACCTGGGACCTTTCAGTCCGCAGACCGATGCTCTTATCCACATCTTCTTCTGTCTCTTTTTTCAACGTCCTGTAGATTTCTGAGTACAGGTCTTTTGTCTCCTTGGTTAAGTTTATTCCTAAGTATCTTAATTTTTTTTTTTTTTTTTTGCAATGGTAAATGGGATTGTTTATTCAGTTTCTCTTTCTGAGAATTCTTCTTTGATGTATGAAAAAGCAATCGACTTCTGGGTGTTGATTTTGTATCCTGTTGATTTTGCCCAATTCATTTATTAAATCTAGTAGTTTATTGGTGAAGTCTTTCGGTTTTTCTTTGTATAATATCATGCAATTTGCAAATAATGAGAGTTTTACTTCCTCCTTTCCAGTTTGGATGCCTTTTATTTCTTCTTGTCTGATTGCTATGGTTAGGACTTTCAGTAGTATGTTGAATAATAGTGGTAAAAGCGGGCATCCCTGTCTGGTTTCTGTTCTTATCATAGGGGAAATGGTTTTAATTTTTGCCCATTGAGTATGATGTTGAGTGTCCTATATGGCCTTTAGAGATATGCTCCCTCTATTTCCAGCTTGCTGTGAGTTGTTATCACAAATGGGTGTTGGATTTCATAGAATGCTTTTTCTTCATCTATTTTATGATCATGTGATTTGTGTCTTTCAGTTTATATGATGTATCATGTTTATTGATTTGTGTCTATTATACCAGCCTGGCATCCCTGGAATGAATCCCACTTGATTATAGTGTATGATCTCTTTAATATATTTCTAGATCCGATTTGCTAATATTTTGTTGAGAATTTTAAAATCTGTGTTCATCAAGGATATTGGCCTGTAATTCTCTTTCCTTGTAGTGTCTCTATTTGGTTTTAGAATTAGGATAATGCTGGCCTCATAAAAAGAGCTTGGAAGTGTTCCTTCTTGGATTTTTTTGGAGTAGTTTGAGGAGTTTAGATGTTAGTTCTTTGAATGTTTGGTAAAACTACCCTGTGAAGCTGTCCAAACCCAGGGTTTGGTTTTGGGGAAGTTTTTCTTTTTACTGCTTATATTTCAGTCAGGTTTTCTGCTTCTTCCTGATTCAGTTTTGGGAGGTATTTTTCTAGGAATTTGTCCATTTCATCCTCATTGTCCAACTTGTTGTTATATATCAATATTTGTTCATAGTATTTTCTTAAAATCCTTTGTATTTCTGTGGTATCAGTTGTTATTTCACTGCTTTTGCTTCTGATTTTATTTATTTGTTTCTTTGTTTCTTAAAGAGATTGGCTAATGATTCATCAATTTTGTTTATCCTTTCAAAGAACCAGATACTGGTTTCATTGATATTTTTTGATTGTTTTTTTAGCCTCCAAGTGATTTATTTCTCCTCTAATCTTTTTTTTTTTTTTTTTAATTTTTTTCCTTCTTCTTAGGGGCCATGCTAATCTTCTCTGTATCTTTCCAAATTTAGTATATGTGCTGCCGAAGTGAGCACATCTCCTCTAATCTTTATTATTTCCTTCCTTCTACTTTGGGCTTTTCTTGTTCCTCTCTTTCCCGTTCTTCAAGTGGTAGGGTTAAATATTTTTTATTTTTATTTTACTTTTTTAAATATATTTTATTGATTTTTTACAGAGAGGAAGGGAAAGGGATAGAGAGTTAGAAACATCCATGAGAGAGAAACATCGATCAGCTGCCTCCTGCACATCTCCTACTGGGGATGTGCCCGCAACCAAGGTACATGCCCTTGACCGGAATCGAACGCGGGACCCTTCAGTCCACAGGCCGACGCTCTATCCACTGAGCCAAACCGGTTTCGGCTAAATATTTCTTTAAAAAATATATTTTTATTGATTTCAGAGAGGAAGGGAGAGGAAGAGAGAGATGGAAACATCAATGATGAGAGAGGATCATTGATTGGCGGCATCCTGATTGCCCCCTACTCAGGATCCAGCCCACATCCTGGGCATGTGCTCTTGACTGGAATCGAACCCAGTACCCTTCAGTCCGCACATCGACACTATCCATTAAGCCAAACCTGTTAGGGCAGCCTTTTGTGTGTGTGTGTGTGTGTGTGTGTGTGTGTGTGTGTGTGTGTTTATGGAAAGTTCTTTATTCACCATCTATTTTGAATGATAGCTCTTCAGGAGAATTCTCTTGTTCTTTCTTGGGAGGTTGCGTTTTTGTTTCCCCATTTTGGCTGCCTGTTTGCATTTGGGTAGCTCTGCTACACTTCTGATCTCTAGAGTAGGACAATGTCAGACACTGCTTGTGATTGGAACTGTGTACCCGGTTTGGAGCTATCAGCAATCCGCAGTTTGGTGGTCCCTCTACTGTGGCAGGTTCCTTTGGAAAGGACCAAAATGTGCACCAGGTCTGCTTTTCCTATCCCTGGGCCCAGAAGGAGATCAGGCAAAGACTCAAAGCCTCCAGGACCCACCTTAGCCTGCAGTCTTATTGTTGTCAGCCTTGATTACCCTCAGGCTATTGACTGCAGGGTGGAGTGAGAGGTGTTCCAACCGGGTTTGACAGTTGCCCCCACCCCCCCCATGGCAAACGTCCACAGCAGAAAGGTGTCCTTCACATCATGAGGAAATGACTTAGCACAGGATACTAGGGTGGCTGCCCTCAGAACTCCAACCCCAGAGACCTCAGTCCTGGACTCTCCTCACACAGTTCCAGTCCACTCTGCCCTCCGTCTGCCAGAGCCCATGGTGAGTGCCTGCACAGGAAGTTTTGCACATTTAAGAGGGTGCCTGCATTTCCAGCCATCTCTCTGGCAGACTGCAACTCTGCCGCTTTTATAGCCATATGTTTTGCGGGCACCCCCCTCAGTTCTCCTGCTCTGGGCTTGGGATCTCAGCTTGGGGTTCAGACACCAGAGTTCTTAGTGGGAACAGCCCACAGCCAAAATATCCCTCTGCAAATTCAACTGTTGTCTGTGAGAACCCAGCCAACCATTTCATGCTTCCGCACTGCCTACTAGTCTGTATGCAATCCCCACTTCCCGTTCTTTGTTATCAGGGTTCTCTCCAGCTAGTGCTCAGCTGATTTTTCAGGTTGGTTGTCCTGCATTTTAGTTGTCTTACCAGCTTGGTCTTGGGAGCTTGTCAGTGTGCCTTCCACGTACTCCATTGCCATTTTCTCTTCCCTTTGATATTTCTTTTATTACTGTATTATGTGTCTTCACATTTCATGAAGCAGTTACTCCTTTAATCCTTTCACCTTTATGGACCAATTATGGCCTGAGAAATAGATTTATCTGCATGAGTGATAAAGGGTGTTGCTTGGTAGGGGTGTTATTTTGATCTTGAGAAAAGATTCAAAAGTCTTGCCTTCTTGATGCTCTATGAGTTGAGGTTATAATAATAATCGATAGGACCAGTGCATGAAAATCGTGCATGGGGGATTGGAAGGGATGTTCCTCAGCCCAGCCTACACCCTCCTCATTCCTGGACCCCTCAGGGGATGTTCGACTGCCTGACATCCCTCTCATAATCTGGGACCGCTGGCTCCTAACCACTCACCTATCTGCCTGTCTGGTTGCCCCTAATTGCCCTCCCCTGTCAGCCTGGTCACCCCTACTGCCCATCCCTGCCAGCCTGGTCGCCCCTAACTGCCTCTGCCTCGGCCCCCACCACTGTGGCTTTTTCCAGAAAGATACCTGGAAGGATGTCCAGAAGATGTCCGGTCTAATTAGCATATTACCCTTTTATTAGTATATAGTATAGATAATGTATGAGTCCACAATGACTTTGGTAGCCATTTTTTTCATTGACAATTGAGGGTGAAAAATATTGCTGGGGACATACTGATTTCTGTTTCTATTCTATGGTAGGTTGCGGCCAAAATTATTTCTTTGATAATTCATGCCAACAAACACTAAATCTTCCTTTGATGTGTATATTGTGCGGAGTTCACAGATGTCATATGGGCTTTTGCAGTTTTTCAAAACAAAACCTTGCAGTGTATTTCACAGAACATTCCACTCATTGAGTATTGTTACTCTGGCTGTGGTTTTTAACCCTCGCTATCTTCAAGTATATTTGATTGCCCATCTTCCCAGTCATTCTTTCTATGCAGTTCTCTCCTTTTTTGCTCTTTTGCATTGCTCTTTGTCTTTATTAAGCTCTTATTCCCATCTCTGGTGGGTGTTAATTTGTTTGTTTGTGGATACCTGTCTACTTATTCTGGCAGGGAGATAAATTCTATCTCCTATTTTGCTATATTGCTGGTGTCACTCACATAGTTTTGTTTTTTTATTATTCTGCTTTGCTGTGTTTTTTTCTCTGTGGTTTCTTCTGTGCTCTCTTGTTCTACCACAATACTGGCCATGCATCTTTTCAGGGTTTTTTTTTAGGATATCTGTCATCTGTATCCAATGGAATTGCTCAACTAGGATTTAAGGGGAAGAATCATTTGTGCATTATAGGAGGAAGTGGACTACATCCATGGCAGGGTGGACCCAGTGGCCGTCTTGCCTTGGTGAAGGGTTGTTGGAAAGAGTTTGACACGAGAGCTTTATTAAGGTTATAAGTAAGAACTTATTTTCTTCAATATTGTTTCGCTACCATTGCCAGTTCTGTACCCCATTCTACTTTTGCTTGTTTATTATTTACACTTTGCAAACTACTCAGTTCTTTTCAAAAAAAAATATTTTAGACACAGAGGAGGGATGGGGTGGGGGGGAGAGGAGAGAGAGAGAGAGAGAGAGAGTGAGAGAGAGAGAGAGAGAGAGAGAGAGAGAGAGAAGAAAGAACCATTGATTGTTTGCTTCCTGTTTGCAGCCCAAATGACGGTTGAACCTGGAACCTGGGCAGGTGCCCTGACAGGGATTCTATCTGGGAACCTTTCCATGGGAAGGATGATTCTCAACCAACTGAGCCACACAATCTATAGCTAAACTACTCAATATAACTGTTACCTTGACTTAGGTTTCTAGCTTATGGATAATCTTTCCCTCTCTACACTTTGTACCTCAGTTGTTCTCCAAACAGGTTCCTCTTTACTGCACTCCTTGGTCCATGCCCTTAGAGCCTCAGTGTGTCACATATTATATTAACCATCCATATCATGTGGTGGAATGCCATGGGTTTTAATATGTTCAAGCACATTCACAGTGTTCTACACAGACTGCGTGATCAGTTAGAATGGTCCTACAGGAAACTGTTTATAAAGGAACAACTAGTGGGCCCTGCCTCTCTCGTTTGTGTCCCATCATATGTTCCTGCCCCTCCCGTGCTGAGGTCTCCACCATTGAGTGACCTTAGGAGTCAAGTAATGTATAACAGCCATTTCCTCAGAGTCTAACTCATGGTCTTAAAAAGCATCCCTTGCAATCATGCCTGGTTGTGACAGATAGACAGTGGAGATGAGGGTATTTCTTCCTTCCAAAGTCATCATGTACTTCACCTGCATTTCCTTTTATTTAGGTTGCTGCTGTGGAGCAGAGAATGTGGAGGCACCTTTTGAAGAGAACATTTCTGTAAGAGTGTCACAGGCAATGAATGCCAAGTTAGCTTTGTCTTCCCAGGAGAGCCACCCCTGTGAGAGTTGTGGACTAGTTTTGAGAAACATTTTCCAGTTGACTCATCAGCAGGCATTACAACACAGGCAGATACTGTTGAGGTGTGGGGCATGTGCAAAACAATTTTATTTCAGTGCACAGTTTCACCAGCACCAGCAGCAGTACTTGAGAGAGAAGCCTTTGATAAGAGGTGTGAACAGTGTCTCACTTGAAAACAGCTGCAATTTCAATGTGTTTCAGAAGCTTTTTACCTGTGGAGAGGTGGAGCAGGACATCCTTAGCATGGCAGGCCATTTCCAGCAAAAGGCCACTCAGATCAGTGACAGGCCAAGTGGTATCTCAATGTGTGGGGTGACATATCAAGGTAAAAATAATTATTTTACTACAAAAGAATGTAAGAAAGCCATTGGCTATAACTACATGTGTGTTTGGGACAAGGGTGTCCCTACTGGCAAAGCATATTTTTGTTGCCGTGAATGTGGAAAATATTTTGCCCGATTTTCCACTTTTGGTTACCATCAGAGATTTCATGCAGAAAAGAAGCTTTGTGAGCACAGTCAATGTGGGAAATCTTTTACCAGTAGTATTGGCCTCCTTTCTCATCAGAGATGTCACAAAGGTGAAAGGCCTTATCAGTGTATTGAATGTGGGAAATCTTTTACCAGGATCTGTTACCTTCATCGCCACCAGAGAGTTCACGCTAGAGAAAGGCCTTATGAGTGCAATGAATGTGAACGATCTTTTATTCAGAACTATACCCTTCGTCACCATCAGAGAGTTCACACTGGAGAAAGGCCTTATAAGTGCAATGAATGTGAGAAATCTTTTAAGAGTATCTATCATCTTCGTTATCATCAGAGAGTTCACACTGGAGAAAGGCCTTATGTGTGTAGTGAATGTGGGAAATCATTTATTCAGAAAGACGCCTTTCGTTGTCATCAGGGAGTTCACACTGGAGAAAGGCCTTATGAGTGCAATGAATGTGGGAAATCTTTTACCAGTAGTAATGTTTTCCATCGTCACCAGAGAATTCACACTGGAGAAAGGCCTTATAAGTGCAATGAATGTGAGAAATCTTTTCATAGTATTTATTATCTTCGTTCTCATCAGAGAGTTCACACTGGAGAAAGGCCTTATAAGTGCGGTGAATGTGGGAAAGCTTTTGCCTATGAAAAAACCCTCCGTTACCATCAGATGGGATTTCACAAGGGAGAAAGGCCTTATGAGTGCAATGTATGTGGGCAATCTTTTGTCAGTAGTAGTGGCTTCCATTACCATCAGAGAGTGCACACTGGAGAAAGGCATAAGTGCAATGAATGTGAGAAATCTTTTAACAGTATCTATCAGCTTCGTTATCATCAGAGAGTTCACACTGGAAAATGGTCTTATGAGTGCAGGGAATGTGGGAAATCATTTATTCAGAAATATGCCTTTCATTGTCATCAGAGAATTCACACTGGAGAAAAGCCTTATAAGTGCAGTGAATGTGGGAAATCGTTTACTCGGAGAAATGTCCTTCATCAGCATGAGAGAATTCACACTGGGGAAAAGCCTCATGTGTGCAGTGAATGTGGAAAATCCTTTACCTGTGGAAGTAGCCTCCGTTACCATCAAATGGGAGTTCACACTGGAGAAAGACCTTTTGAGTGCAATGAATGTGGAAAATCTTTTACCAGTAGTAGTGCCTTCCGTCGTCATCAGAAAGTTCACACTGGAGTAAGGCCTTATGAGTGCAGTGAATGTGGAAAATCTTTTATTAGTGGTAGTAGCTTCCGTCGTCATCTGAGAGTTCACACTGGAGAAAAGCCTTATGTGTGCAGTGAGTGTGGGAAGTCATTTACCACCAAATATTGCCTTAGTTGTCATGAGAAAATTCACACTAGAGAAAGGCCTGATGAGTGTAGTTAATATGGGAAATCTTTTATCCAAAATTCTAACCCTACTCCCCACATAAGACTTCATATTGGAGGAAGGTCTTGGATATGTAGGAAATGTAGATTTTTTTAGTTCACCCATAGCAATACTATAAGAAATTCCATGAAGCCCTATTTGTCTGAACTGAATCTCATACACTGCAACATCAAGCGTAGTGAGATTCCCAATAAATTTGAGTGCTGTGAAAATCATGTGTGTGTATTTTGCACTTATTTTTTAAAGTTTTTATTAATTTCAGAGAGGAAGCTTGAGGGAGAAAGAAATGGAAACATCAATGACAACACATAATCATCAATCAGCTTGCTCCTGTGCGTCCTCTACTGGGGGTTGAGCATGCAATCTGGGCATGTACTTTGAATGGGATCCCACTGAGCCACACATATATGTTAAAATTTGTTATTTACACAGGTGTCTTCCAGATCTATGTCACTACATCATGGGGTTTTTTTGTTGTTCTTGTTTTTTAATATATATTTTATTTTATTTTTTTACAGAGAGGGATAGAGTGTCAGAAACATTGATGATAGAGAAATATCAATCAGCTGCTTACTGCACACCTCCTACTGGGGATGTGCCCGCAACCAAGGTACATACCCTTGACCGGAATCGAACCTGGGACCCTTCAGTGTGCAGGCCAACGCTCTATCCACTGAGCCAAACCAGTTTGAGCACTACATTGTTGTTTTTGTCTTCTACACTTAGGTCCTGTACACCAGGTTGACAACCACTGTCAATCCTTTTTTTTTTCTTTAAACATATTTATATTCTTTTTCTTTTTTAAAATATATTTTTAATGATTTCAGAGAGAAAGAGAGAGAATAGCATCAATGATGAGAGAGCATCATTGATCGACTGTGCCCTGCACATCCCCAACTGGAGATTGAGCTTACAACCTGGGCATGTGTCCTGACCCGAAATGGAATCGTGACCTGTTTTATAGGTTCAATCTCACCCCTGAGCCACAGCGTATATCTCATTACATATTCTGGTTGATGAAGCTATTTCACCTGGTCCACCTATATGGCTTTCACAGATTGCATAGGTCACCATCCTCATGTGCTCAAGAAAGCTAACTCAGTTCTCTGTTTTGAGAAAATTGGGAGCAGCCTGGGCTTGTACAAGGTCTTATTTCCTTTCACTCTATTTGCCATATGCATCTGACTTGTGGTCCCCAGAAAACTTCACCTGAGTTCAGCGAGCAGCTTATAGAACAACTACCTTTCCCAGGGACAGGCTTTTTCTAGGTAACAGTGACAGATTTTTGAGTGGCTAAGTCACGGATGCAAGAACTGCCAAGCTCTTGTCCCTTTGATTTGTAAAATATTGAAAGACTTTCTAAGTCTTCTTTAACTTAGGTGTTCTATTTACTGTCTGTGGGAGTTTATAAGCAGATTTGGGTTCCACAGGCATCAGGAGGTGAACGATTTAATGGGTATCTCAAACTTTCTCTGCCTACCGGAGGAATACAGGGTGCAGAAATTAGCTCAGCAGTTTAGGCCAGATTTAAGCCCTCATATCAAGCCTAATGCTGTGAGCTTTAGGAAAGTTTCAGGAGATCACTCCAAAGAGTGGCTAGCTGTGCCAACCTCAGATCCTTCCGGAAGGAACATGAATTATTTTCTATTTTTGTGGGGGAGATCTCTTGTCCAGGTCTTACAAAGGGTTCTTCGCACTAATGCCTATAATTCCAGGGGCGATGATCACTGGTTGGAGGACCATAGGGATGAGGGGAGCCATGATTGCTACAGAACCACTGGCCTACATGGTGTTGGAAGAGATTGCTGCCATCGAGATGGAATGAGCTTATGAATGTGCATTCAGAACTGTTTGAGGAAAACGCTGCAGGGTGGCATGTGCACAGATCTGAGAATCTCCACGCATGTTTACGAGTATTTTCTGTGGCCTCTGAGAATTTCACTTCAGAGCCATTGGTGCCTTGGCACAAAAAGATGATAAAGCCATAACCCAGTGGTTCTCAACTTTCCTAATACCGTGACCCTTTAATATAGCTCCTCATGTTGTGGTGACCCCCAATTTCATTGTTACAAATTGAACATAATTAAAGCGTAGTGATTCATCACAAAAACAATATATAATTATGTGTTTTCCAGTGGTCTTGGGCGACCCCTGTGAAAGGGTCCTTCAACCCCCAAAGGGGTCACGACCCACAGGTTGAGAACCGCTGCCCTAACCGGTTTGGCTCAGTGGATAGAGCGTCGGCCTGAGGACTGAAAGGTCCCAGGTTCGATTCAGGTCAAGGGCATGTACCTTGGTTGTGAGTGTGTAGGAAGCAGCTGATCAATGTTTCTCTCTCATTGAAGATCCTAACTCTCTATCTTTCTCCCTTTCTCTCTGTAAAAAATCAATAAAATATATTTAAAAACAAAAAAGAATGATAAAGAAAAGGGGTTCCCTGGCTGGTTTGGCTCAGTAGATAGAGCATCGGCCTGTGGACTGAGGGTCCTAGGTTCGATTCCTGCTCAGGGCACATGCCCAGGTTGTGGGCTCGATTCCCAGGAGGGTCTGTACAGGAGGCAATTGATTAGTGATTCTCACCATTGATGTTTCTATTCTCCGTCTCCCTCTCTGGAATCAATAAAAATCTATTTGTAAAAAAGGGGTATCTCTAGGCCAGGATGTGACTTGTGAACCAGGGAGCATTCCTGTTGGTTTGGGTGAAAGCCCTTGTTTGCTGTCACTAAGGCAAGTCTCTTTAACTGGGCATGAGACCAGGGATTGAATATCACGTCAGAACTGTTTTTTCCCGAAAAAAGGGACATGGAAATTTCTTTTATCTTGAACCAATTTTGAAATGGTTTTATTAAAAACTGACATGTCAAGTATAATATTTGAGGAGTCCACATATGCATTCACAAGGGTAAATGACAATAAGTCATTTACTGGAACTTTCACTGTTGTCACAATACTTTCAATATCATTCACTGCGTGTTCTTTTTGCATCTCTCTGCCCTTCATAGCTTTTCACAGAACCACTAATTTACATTCCATCTTAATAGATAACTGCAATTTCTGAACTTTAGATGATGGGAATCTGGGTATATTTTTCTGCTCTTTACGTTGCATAAATGTTTAGAGATTTGTTAATGCTATATTAGTAGCTCACCTTTTTGGGGGAGAAATGATTTTATCTTTGAATTTAGCATGCTTTATTCATTTGCTATGCTTATTTCTAATTTTTGACTTTATTTAAACTGCCACAAACATTTTTGTAGAACTCTTTATTGAGGATATGTTTCATTTATCCTTGTCAATAACAGTACAAAGTTTTGAGTCATCAGAGGGGTGAAGGTTTAACATATAGATATTTGAAAGTAGTGATTGACACTGATTGGCCTGTGCATTTTCCAGCAGCATAGGAGGGATTCAGTTCCTCCTCATATTAGAGAATACTTGGTTTGGTCAGTCGTTTTTTATTTAGACACTTTTTAAAACTTTGTCATGCTACCGCACTGTTGTTTTATTGCTTTCTCCTAAGGATTTACAGTGAGCCCTTCCTGGGGTGTGTTCTTGCTAACTCTGTATCTCTGTTCAAATGTTTGGGCATGGGTTCTGCCTAATCTGCTGTGAGTTTTGGCTGTTTAACAAAAGGAGAGTGAAACAACCAAGATGGATATTGGGATTTCACGTGGTGCCTTTTTAGGCTTTATGGAATAAAGGCTTTTCTTGTTGGAATGATATGTCCTAATGTTTTTTACTTTCTCCTGCTATACACAATGCAATGGACACTTTTCATTTTAACCCGCACTATTAATATTTTGTATCGCTTTCAGAACACCAGTTATCTGATCCTGCACTAAGCCCTTGCTTTGTAGTCTTCTGCATTTTCCCGTTCTCCTGTCATGCGGGTTCTTGGGTTGGAACAGGTCTCCCAGGAGGACCCGATGGCATCAGGGTGGTCAGGGTGTTTTAGAGTCCCAAAGCCAGTGCAGAGAGAAATGGGGGGCAGGGATCAGACTCCTTCTACCCCGGGTCAGGCATTTTGGATTTGAATCCCAGATTGCCGAATATCACTGGGACTCATGGGGGAAACGATCCCTTCCTCTAGTCTGGGCTTAGTTTTCTCCTCCGCAAACTGCTCTATCCCTGAGCTGCTGGAGGAGGACAAATGCTAAAATGTCTATTTGCAGTGAGACATCTCTGCCGGTGGCCTGACTGGGCTCAGGCAGCTCTAGCCTCTGAGTATAGAGACATTTCGGGCCAGATATCCCTCACTCTCCCAATGCTGACAAACACCTTGACTTGGGGTGTGCTTGAGAAAAAAATGAGGCTCATGAGAACCCTCTGACCCACCTGCAGGGAGGCAGATGCTGTGGGCCCTGAGGTCTCAGTGTGGGTTCTTTACCTGCAAATCTCCAGGTGATTCTAGAGCTTCCCTGAATCTCATTTGGCTGAAAGTGACATGAAGGTGATGTTGGCACTTACCTTAACCTCTGAAGATCAATAAAACCAACTGAGTCCTTGCTGGTGAGAGGATTCCAGGATTAGCTCTTGGAGCATTTTCTTTTTCATTTCTCACAACCACCTGGGAAGTGGAAACTAATTTCAAATTGCTGGCAACATCAAGGATGAGAGAAATGACGGAGGCTCTGCAAGTTTCCTCAGCAGACATGTGTCTGGTATAAGAGGCTGGATTCCAACATGGGGTTCTGGCTCCAGAGCCTGGGGCGGGTACGCTGTGAGGACCAGGGAGAATCAGCTGAAGGTGCTCTTTCCATTGTTGCAATTATGATGATTTTCCTAAGATGTCAGAGCACTTACCCTTGGCCTCCCCGTGTTCAGGGGAACGCCATCATTTCTCAGCTGCAGTGGTTTCTGCAGGAGAACCTGCTTTCAGAGTGAGCTGCTGTTTGTCTGCCTCCCCTTTGATCCCAGCACAGAATTTGACCCTCTGGAGACCTTAATAATTTGGGCTGGGTCTCTGCACCTGCACCCACATTTTGGATGTCAGGCTGTGATCCCATCCACTGTGATGAATCTGATGCCTCAGTTGGACTCTACCAAGAGATGTGTGAATGTGGCATTGACATTCACCCTGCAGGCGTGGGGACAACTGGGTATGAATTTGGGGCCCTATTTGTAAGTGATGCTAGAGACCTACAGGATCCTGGTTTCTTTCACAGGTGCTCACCTCTCTTCCATTTAGGGGACGCACTTCCCCTGTGATTCTGTC